TCTATCTATCTATCTATCTATCTATCTATCTATCTATCTATCTATCACACAGGAGCTCTTTCAAGCTGGGCCCCGTTTCATTCACAACACCTGTCCCACCAACCAGGAACCAGAACCAGATGTTTACAGGAAAAACAGGAAGATATCAACCTGTGGATTATCTGAGGATCTTAGTACTGAATGCCCAAGAACAAGGGACATCTACACACTATAGGACCAGTTTATTACAACACTATTTCAGACAAAATATAGAACCAGGGGGTCCCACTCCATCTGTTTGGGGGGCCTTGGCCTGGAAAACCTTGAAGACCCCTGCTTTAATCCATTAATGCCTCCATTTGTAAAAAAAACAATACATATGTAGATGCATATCTAAAATGAATGTGTTCATACGAGAGCCATAGTCAGGTTCATATGGAGTCCTGATCCTGATTAAGATCCGTATGACAGAATTATCTGGAGGTCTCGGGGGAGTAAATGCTGTCAGCCTCTGTACGTTACTCATTAAAGAGGAAAAGTGAATACCGTTGAGTGCTTCCAGTGGAGGATAATTTCAGGAATGTTGTCTGCAGGATGCAGGAGGTGGTAATCTCTCCACTCATTCCAGTCAATGGTCATCGTTCCATTTGTATCCATACTGCAAACGGAAAGATGACAGTGGTACAGTGATTTAAAAACAGAAGTTAAAACATCTGCACCCCTCACAATGCCCCACCCCCCTTATTTTCAAGCATTGCCACTATTTTCCACATACTTGCTCCATGCAAATACCTCCTGGCACATGTTGCCAGCTTCTTTTATGGCCTTTTTGCTTTTTCATCATTCCATTTGAAAGGAACCATGCGCTTTCATAGCATAACGTTGGGTTTTCAGTACAGCTTCTGCAAACTGTGAGAGGTCCTGGACCCATAAGAGAGTCACCAGCACACGAGAGCACGTGTACGGAGAAAAGAAAACACTGACAGGTCCACAACAAAGAGAGCAGGACAGAGAACCCTGAAGTCTGAACGCTTAGGTCCAGGGAAAAGATGAGAGCTTCACCAGGAACGTCAGGCCTGGGGCTAAAGGCGCTTTGAGAGGAGGGCGGGGCCCCAATGATCTGGTTTTTGCCAGAGCTTCCATAACTGCCATGTATCTGCTCTATATGTCAAATATATAGCAGAACGTCTAATATCAAGGTGGAGAAAAGCTGCGTTGGACAACAGTGAATATCACTGATAAATATACCTCTGTATTCAGATGTGGTGCGAGCTGTAAGGTAGGCAGTGCTCAGCTGGGGGGGTGTCATGCAGTGTAACGCTGGTTTTTAAAGCCTCTTTCTACCAAACGGCGCACAGAGCATGTCTGAGTCGTTTGTGCTACAACAGAAAGTCCACATTTCTTCATTTAGCCACAGAGGTGTTTACTGCAGTTCCATTGTAGATAGCTAAATAAGAAGATGTTTGATAGAAACTGCGTTAAACACACAAAGCGTTAGCGGTTTGCATAGCATCAGCCGGAAGCAGAGCGTAAAGGCTACTACTTACTACAGGATAGGGGCCCAAATGTGGCCCCGC